TGTTGGCAGTGCAGTGAACCTTGAATTATAACAAAACTGGGGTTAGTGGCACTGAATAGCGGAAGGTCAAATTAGGAATTCATGTATCTGATTATTTGTGGCAGGGATCGGTCGCTTGGGCAACTTACCAGAAAGTTGTTGCGAAACGTCGTTTGGGCGGAAGCTGCGTTTCATGGGGCTCTTCTTCGCCACCGAATCGGCCAGTCGATGAGCTCGGTCGAGCAGCGGACGTGTAAGACGAGAGTGGTCATAGGAGCGCAGGAGTCTGTCTTGAGCTGAGAACGGTTTGTCATTACCGCCACGTGGAATCCGGCCTGTCGATGCTAAAATGGGAAAAAAAGTCACCTTACTTTCTATCTACTCCATGTGCAAGTCAATATAAACGTATTTTACGTGTTGCGGGACATGCGTGTTGTGCTGTACTTTGAGGCTCAATGAAAAATCCTCTCAGTCACAGTCGCACAACTGTATGTAGACGGTGGCTATCGACAAAGGCACTGTGTTAGAAATTTAGCGCCAAGGCACAACGGGACAAGCATATCCCCCCTAACCCGATCGATTAAAGCCCTGCCAAAGTAGCCAACATTACCGATAGTAGCCGACAGTACAGCAGACCAACAGTTCAGTTGGGAGAGCGGTGGAACTAAGAACACACGATAACCAAAGATTACGGGTTCGAGACTTAGGTCCGGCAAACACGGGTTTCGATAAGACTGGCTGACAACAGTTACTAAGGCAGAACTAGCAATCTCAGTCGCCTATGTGTTTGTCTGAAGATCTCTTTCAGCATATTTTTACGTAGACGAAAACACACGCACGCAATGTGGTTTGTTAGTATTCGTTTGTTTCGGACGAAACTGACAACCGCCTCCATGTTCTTGGCTTCGCTTTAGTTGCATTTAAGAAGGAAATGCCAATGTCATATAAAATGTTAAATTATAACCTTAAGCAACCCGTATTGGACAAATCCATCGGTATTTACACGTCAATAGTTGGTCTTATTTTAGCTTATTGCAAAAACCGAAGCAAAACTAATGAGTAAATGAGTCTTGCGTGCCTAAAGTGATCCTGTGTGGTTATATTCACGAGACAATGAACTATAAAAGGAATTAACTGACGAAAGTCCAGCTTTTGGTAGGCACAAACATGGTTCATAATCTGCTACCCGTCAAGACATAGACACTTCTACTTCTGGATAGGAGATGGCATTTGCAGATATTGCTGACTGCTGTTGGGTTGACATTCTGACGACTGATGCGGAAACATCCAGATTAGCAAGTAAGTGCTCTCAGTTCTCGCCAGAAGGAGGATAGCATCCTACGACGGACCCTCGGTGAACCTTTTCGAGTTAAGTAGAAAGTACAAGTGGACTCTTTAGTTCGGAAAGGACAATTAAAATTGTCTTTTACCTGTTTTTTTGTTTGCATCGAGGTATAACTTGCGGTGGTAGCCGCAGAAAAGTAGTGGTAGTAGCAGCCTCCACGGTTGAGACTCGGCAGTACGCCGTTTGCAATGCTGATGGCTGTTGTGACCCGCTAACCAAAGTCATACTCAAATGACTCAAAACACTGCACACCCCAAAAACTGGTTGTTCCGTCCAACTGGTCGCCCAAGGGCAGCTAGGACAGCTGGTAACAGTCCCGTGCCACCAGCGGGCTTTTATGACTGACCGAGTGGATACTCCGTTTTTGCGTTTCTTTGGTAAAAATGCAAAAACAGCAACTTCGGTCTCCCCCTCCTCACCCTCCGGGTATCCAGTTTTACCTTTGCTGTTATGATTCAGTACGCTCCTCGCATCCCACCCCACCTCACCCCCAACTTCCCCGACTTAATGACTTATTAATTATTCAGAGCCATCGGCCAGAGCGAGCTTTTTGTGTACTGGCGTGTGCGGGCTCAACCAGCAACGAGTCACTTTGGCGCCGGCGTCGGCAGCTGGATGAGGGGGTGGGGGGGTTAATACTGTCAGCATGTGTACATAGGACACACTCCCCCCTCCCCCGCCCCCAGTTCTGAGGCCTCCGGCTCGCCCTAACACCCGGATCGTATGGTAGGCCCCTTTGATCCTGCCACAACTTTAATAATCTGCATCCGCGCCGG